ACAAGAGAGCAATCCAAAAGGCCAGTACACACACACTAATAGTCATGGAAATAAATAAAGTGGAAATAAGATATCATTTCTTACTGATTAGAATGCAAAGCCTAGTAAAAGCCACTGTGGTCAAAACTGAGGGAAAAGAGTTCACCTTCACAGTGAGTGGAAACATGAATTGTTATGATTAAAAACATATATATTGGCTGGGCATGGTGGCTCACACAAGTAATCTAGCGGTCTGGGAGGCCAAGGTAGGTGATTGCTTGGTCTCAGGAGTTTGAGCAAGAGTGAGCCCTCGTCTCTGCTAAAAATAGAAAAACAAGCCAGGTGTCATGGTAGGCCTCTGTAGTTCCAGCTACTCGGGAGGCTGAGATAAGAGGATTGCTTGAGCCCAAGAGACTGAGGTTGCTATGAACTATGATGATGCCACAGCACTCTGCCCAGGGCAATAGATTGAGACTCTGTCTCACAACACAAACCAAAAAACAAAACCCAAAAAACATATATACCCTTCAACTCAACAATCTTGCTCTGGGAAACCAGTGTGTAAAATGAAGGCAACAGTATGGAAGGCTATTTGCATAAGTAAGTTTATGAAGGTTATGGGAAGACTGTGTGTGTGTGAGGGGGTGGTTCCAGAAAATAGTTAACATAGCAAGACTGAGATTGCTAATCTTACAAATGCCTGCTTACATGGACAGTATCTGGGAACTTGCTGGTAAACAGTTTCCTACACTGATATAAAACTTTTCCTGAGGCTGGGTATGGTGGCTCCCTTCTGTAATCCTAGCACTTGGGAGGCCAAGGAGGGTAGACTGCCTGAGCAAGAGTGAGACCCCATCTCTAAAAATAGCCAGGGGTTGTGGAAGGCACCTGTAATCCCAGCTACTTGGGAGGCTGAGGCAAGAGAATCGTTTGAGCTCAAAAGTTTGATGTTGCTGTGATCTATGATGTCACAGCACTCTACTGAGGGTGACAAAGTAAGACTCTGTCTCAAAAAACAAACAAACCAAAAAAACTTTTCCTAAGTGTTAAGAGTGGCTTACTGTGTTTAAACTTCTTGTACAAATATAGTTTGTGCTGAATACCTGTCTCCTCTAGGAGTCTGGGATTTGTGTACCTGTTAGGCAGACAGTGCCTAAATGACCAGCTCCCAATAAAAACTTGGAGCACTGAGTATGTAATGAGCTTCTCTGGTGGATGACACCGGCACATGCTGCCACAGCTCCGCTGGGAGGGAACTCTTGGAAGCGGCTCCTGGGTTCCTCGGGAGCTGGCCCGATGCACCCTTTCCCTGTGCCAATTGTGCTCTGCATCCTTCTGCTACCAATTTTACTCATCAGTGCAATTCTCTGCAGAGTCCCGGGAGTCCTTCTAGTGGACTGGCTCTCTGCTGTATCTCTGCAAGTGAGGGTGGTTGTGGGAACTCTTCACAGAGGGGACAAGAAGAAATGTGGGCATAGAAGGTAAATGTGGGGGGAAAAAGTAATAAAATGTCATAGAAAAAGAGGAAAGTGATTGTAAAATATCCTCATATGAACAACAATCTCATTCACATTATAGTATATATGCACAGAAAGATGTCACAGAGGATGGCCACCACCTTTGGTGAGTCTTCACATTTTTCCCTTACAGTTTTCTGTATGGTTTGAATTTGTTTTTCTAATGATATTTCACTTATATAATCAGTAAAAAGATAAAGCAATTTTTACTTAAAAAGGAAATAAAAATCAGTTGTCAGAGATTCCTATTTAAAATAGCAGCTCCTGATGCTCCCTCTCCTGACTTCCTATTAAATTTCTATAAGGATATAGAAAGAACAAAACCATGAATTGCCACGTGAGATGGCTGATGACCTATTCCCAAAAGCCCAGAGAAATTTCCACTAGCTTTTTTCTTTCTCTCTCTCTTTTTTTGTTTTGTTTGTCCTACTCTGTTGCCCAGGCTGGAGTGCAGTGGCACAATCACAGGTTACTGAAGCCTCCAACTCTTAAGCTCAAGCAATCCTCCCAGCTCAGTCTCTTGAGTAGTTAGGACTAAAGGAACACACTACCATACTCAGCTAAGTAAAATTAATATATTTAAAATTGTTTTTTAGAGAGATAGGGTTTCACTATGTTGCCCTGGTTGGTCAATCTCTCATAAAGGTAGAAAGAAGAAAAATATAGTAACAGATCTGGAACAAACACTCACCCCCCCCTTCCCCCCAAACCCACAGTGAAGTACTCAGATCAAGGGAAAAGACTCAAATACATGAAGACAGGGAGGAATAGATGCATGGACACGATTTACTGTGGCAGACACAAAACAGAGATCCAACTTGCAAATTGGTAAGCATTCTTGAGAAAGAAAACAGAACTGAACAAAAGCAACTAAAAACAATTAATAGAGGGAAACCATTTGGGGATGAAACAATTGAGTGTTCAGTCTGAAAGCTTCTTCTGAGTTCCAGGTAAAATAAGTCAAAGAGGCCAACACTAAAAAACAGCTTGGCGATTGGAAGAGAAACTTTTACTATTTGTGTGTGATTTGATCTAGAAAAACTAACAGAAGCAAACATTGAATCAAGAAAGGGTTTGTTCTGGATCCAGATAAAGCAACATAAGCCAATGTTATTTCTTTGCACTGTGTAAAAAAATAAAAAAAATTAACAGTAGCAATAAAATCAATCAAGTATCTAGGAATTAACCATGATTTTTATATGGCCTTTCTAAGTTTAAAGGTCAATGAAGATGATTTCAATCAGAGGTGTCCAACCTGAGGTGGGCTGTATGCTGACTTTGAGGGGATTTTTTTTTGCTTATCTATGGTGTTGGATCACACGAAAATTATGCATGGACCTTTATTTTGCTCATCAGCTTTCATTAATGTTTGTGTATTTAACGTGTGGCCTAAAACAACTCTTATTCTTCCAATATAAGGTGGAAAACGAAAATGGCTGGATATCCTTGACTTAAATAAACCTATTTTATACTCTTAATAAGATTATTTAATATTATAAAAATTTTAATCTTTTCCAACTAATCTATATATACACTGCTATCCTAATAAAAAAAATCATAGTTGAATTTAATGAATTTATTATGCGCATTAAAATGTATATTGCAGAATAAAGGTCTATGTACAGGTTAATCAACTTTAACAAAGAAGAACAGAGAAGACGGATTTATCTTACAATACACTAAGACATACCTAAAAGCTGTGTGGTGTTAGGACTCAAACTTTACCTTAGAAATGAAAACAATGTAACCTAAATGTCTGTAGCCTTATATGAAGCTGAAATTGAAAAATGGAACATAGCAGAGAACACAGAGACGGAACATGTGTGTCTGATTTGCAGCGCCACTTTTATTGTATATTAAGTTCTCCTACACAGACACACAGGTTCTGTCGCACTGTAAATCAATGGCCAAAGGACAGACTGTTTAGTAGAGGGCACTGTGCAAACTGGCTTACCATACAGAGAAAAATAAAGCTGGACTCCTGTTTATAGGTGTATTCTAAATAAAGATTTAAGTGTGAAAAGTAAAACGATACAGTTCTTAGAGGAAATATAGGATATCTTTGTGACCTAGAGACCAGGAAAGTCTCTTAAAATTCCAAAGCATGAGGCAAAAAAACTGAAGAATCTGATTATGTCAAAATTAACAATTCTGTTCAACAAAGCATGTTATGGATAAAATTCATTAGATGCCTCTAGACTAGGAGAATACAGGGTATCCATAAAGGTCGTGGGCAATTTCACTGTGTTAACTTATTTTAAATTGCACACAAACTTTATGTCCACTCTGTATATTTGTTAATGTCCAAAATAAATATGAGATTCATGTCTAGAATACTCAAGGCATTTCTGTTAATGAACAAGAAACTCCCAAATCTAGTAGAAAAATAGGCAAGAGGTATGAACAAATAGTTTACAGAAAAATCCAACAAGCAAACAAGTATTTACCAAGATGCTCAACTTCAAAGGTCATCAGAGAAATGTACAGTAAAACTACAGGATATTCTACCTATGAGTCTGACAAAGTGCAGGTAGCTGGGTGATACTGGAAGGATGTGGCACATAGTGACCTGCAGGTACCGAGATGCTGGCGGTGCAAACTGGCAGAGTTCTCCAGAAATGGAACCTGGCACTACTTATACATATACCCTGTGACCCAGCAACTTTTCTCCTAGGTATATATATTCCAAGGACAACCTCACAGAGTTACATGATTTTTTTACACACATATATAATTTTTTGGCATTAAAATGGTTCATATGGAACATATGGGTAAGGATGAGAGATACAAAGAAATCCATGAATTAGTGAATGTGAGGACAAAGAGGTCAAGGGCTGGGGCGTGGGGCAATGACGGGTGAGGGAGGTGGTTTCAAACATATTGGCAACATTTTTCAGTCACAAAATAAAAAAGTCCTTAATGCGTTTAAACTAGAAAAGAAATCCTCACATAGTTTGCTATAAAAGACAGAAGGTAAACTGGTTCAGATAACTCTCCAACTTTAATACTAGAGACAAAATGTCCTTAGAGTTTTGAAGATGAAATAATTTTGAAATTGGGCAGCCAAACACATGAAGGCAACAGAAAACATTTGACAATACACACAGACACACACAAAATATATCATCATCCTTGAACATTTCGGTTTTTTTTGAGATGTCTTACTCTGTCGCCCTGGGAAGGGTGCTGCGGTGTCACAGCTCACAGCAACCTCAAACTCTTGGGCCCAGGTCCTCTTGCCTCAGCCTCCCAAGTAGCTGGGACTACAGGCAGCCCCCCACAATGCCCGGCTAGTTTTTCTATTTTTAGTAGAGATAGGGTGTCACTCCTGTTCAGAGCGCTCTCCAACTCCTGAGCTCAGGCAATCCACCACCTCAGCCTCCCACAGTGCTAGGAATATAGGTGTGAGCCACCATGCCAGGCCATGAGCATATCTTAAAGAAAATATTCAACAAGTTTTTAAGAACATAAGAGCAAAATCTTATTGTTAAAATATAAAATTACCTTTTGTAGAAAGAGGACAATCCTTACAAGCATCTGGGCACGTTTTTCTTCTAAGGTAAACAACGTTCGGGGTGTTCGAATGAAAATTTTGGTCTTCCCATAAGCAACATCGTCCTGAAAACCATATTGTTCAATCAGTTTCTTGACAGCCTCTTTGTCTGAAGGAAGGTCATGGTTGGGCCAGGTGAATTCAGAGATCATCTTATACCTGGGTGAAAAATGAAGTGAACTCTTATTCTTCCAATGTGAGGCAGAAAAGAAAAACAAAACAACATCTTGGCAAACTAGTAATAATTTCTTTTAGATGCAAAAAAAAAAAAGGCCTCAACAAAACGAAACACTTCCTTATGATAGCAACTCTTACTAAACTAGGGACTTAATAAAAAAGGTTATTTTAGAAAAACCTTATAGCTAGTATCATTCATCAAGAGGAGATCTTGGAAGCATTCTCTTTACAAACAGAAACAAGGCAGGGATGCCTTTATCATGAGTTCTTGACATCATTATAGAGGTCTAGTCAGCAGTGAAACCAATAAATAAATGGGTAAAGTATTTACTAATTTCATATTCAGATTATAGAGTAATTTACTAATTTTTCTTCTAGCACTGGTATGTTTTCATTTTATGCTTAGATCTCTGATCCATTTGGAGTTTATTTTGGTCTATGGTGTGAGGTATGAATCTAGTTTTATCTCTTGACAAATGGCTATCCAGCTATTCCAACGCTATTAAAAAGTCTATCTTTACTCCCTGCAATTTAATAGGCCACCTTTATCATATACTACATTTTTATATCCACTTTGGTTTTTTTTCTGGACTTTTCTGGTCTGTTTCATTGTTCTGTCTGTTCATCGGTGCATCAGTACCATGTGGTTTTAATTAGGAAGTACGTTTTAATGTCTTTCCTGAATCTTTCCTTTTTCACAGGTTTTTCTGGCTACTTGACAGCTATTTAGACTTGCATAGGAACTTTAGAATCAAGTTTTAGAGTTACAGGAAAAAAAAAAAGAATCTAGCAAATAAACGGAAAAAACCCAACCCTACCCCCAAACCCCTTGAGAATAGTTTTATTGAGCTGAAACATTAAATTCATTACATTTATATATGGTGTTGAGTTGTCCTAATCAAGGAATCTCTTCCCATTGTTCAAGTCTACTTTTGTACCTTTCAGGAATCTCTGAACATTTTCTCATAAGGCTTCTCACATTTCCTCTTAAGATGAAAGATAACTAAGCAGCCTCTGTTAATTACTGCCCTTAATTACAGTTAATTCCTTCTTGACATCTCTTTTCTTGGTGTCCACAACTGCACACTCTTCCACAGTTTCCTTCTGTCTCCCTGGATAGTCCTTCCCAGTCTCATCTTCTGGTTCCTCTGATTCCACTGTATCCTCAATGTTGGAGTGTCCCAGTGCTCAGATTAGGGATTCTATGTATACTCTCCCCACATCACCTCATAGTCTAGACCATTTACTTTAAATAATATATTCAAAATATAAAAACAAAACCATGTATATTTATAAACATATAAAATGTTATTTCTCAATTCAGTAATGCGTCATCCCTAGTCTAGCCCTCAGTCTGAGCTTTAGACTCACACATCCAATGTTTGCCTAGGTCTCAAGCCACCCAGTTATTAAAGCCAGAACTGTGGGAATATTTTTATTCCTTCCCTTCTCTGTCATTACTTCTAGTTCATTGTTAAATCCTATTGACTCTACCTCCAAAATATATTCAAAATCTAACACTTATCCTCATTTCTACTGCTTCAATCCTAATTCAAGCCACCTTCTATTTGCTATAATAGACTAAACTATTCTCCATTTCTTTCTAATCCATTCTGCAAACATCAGATAGAAGAGTTTTCCAAAAGGCTTAAAACCATTTTTGTCTTTTACTGCCTCCCTTCTCCTCTCCTCCCTCCTCACTGTCCTCCAGTCACACTGGCTTCTTCAGGGTTCTGTGATGTGGCTGTCCCTTCTTACTCTAGAGGCTTTGCATATGCGGTTCCCACTGCCTGGAATGCATATTACCCAGGCCTTGAAAGGCTAGCTCCTTCTTATCTTTCAGTCTTGTCTTCATCTTCCTACTTCAATAAATCTCCATCTCCCCAATAATCTCTTTAGGGTAGCTAGTTTTGTTTCCTCCTCACACCATTCATCACAATATTGATCTGTGGCTCCATCTGCTTAATGTCACCTTCCCTCACTGGTCTGTGGGCACCCTGAAGGTGGGGACTTTTGTTCCCTCCATATACCAGGTGCCTATCATGCTGCCTGCCATACTTTGAGGCAATAAATATTTGCAGAACAAATAAAAGAATGCAGGGAAATCATTCAAAGGTTTGCTCACTCACAAGAGAGGCTCAGAAATCAATGCCTTAATATGAAGATAGAGGTAATGTCACCCAATGTCACACGAAAAAAGAGGAAACAAAATCGGAACCCTCCCAATTTGTTCTAAAAGTACAGTAAGGGTTCACATTTGGCTTATAATATGGGCAGTAATGGTGTGTGTTTAAAGTTTCAGGCATACTGCAGAGGCTGAAACTTTCCTGCAGCCCCACTGCTCTGCTCACGGGGAGGGGTAGAGGTGCTCTCTCTGCCTTCCCTCCTGCCAGCAAGGGCATGACCCCAGTTCTCCAGCAAACCAGCATCCTGAACTTGCTAATTAAAACGCTGAACTCATCTGCTTTCTGACAACTAATTTTATTTCCCCAAAGGACGTTAGCAGCTTTCAAGGTTATCAGTACATTTAAAATCTTTCTCTCTTTTTCAATGAAAGAAATGAAAATAAAGAAAAGTAACAAGTAAAAATTTAGATTCAAAGCTAAAATTCTTACCAAAAAAATCTTTAGAATCTAAGAGCAAAAATGCACTGTAGAAAACATTACTTCTCCTCTCATTATCCCTGAATAATCTGCATAAAATGGGGGTAACACATCTTCTTGATGTGGTTGTCAGTTTTAGTGACTAACTACACTAGGAATGCTTAGAACAGAGCTTTGTACCGACAAGAAGCATTTCAAGGTGTTAGCAACTATTTATTACATGTTAAAATTCAACACATAAATTAACTTTTTTGCTTTCTAGTCTATCATTATCTATATCCTTTCCCTAAACAAGATAAAAGCTTTCATTTATCTCTATTTTTCACTCCCATTTTAATTTTAGTTACAGATATTACTAAAGACATTTTTTGGTCTTTTTTTTTTTTTTAACTTTGTCGCCCTTGGTAGAGTGCTGTGATGTCACATAGCTCATGGCAACCTCAAACTTTCAGGCTCAAGAGGTCATCTTTGCCTCAGCCTCCCAAGTTGCTGGACTACCAGCACCTGCCACAATGTCCAGCTATTTTTTTTTTTTAGAGACAGGTTTCACTCTTGCTGGTCTCAAACTCCTGAGCTCAAGCAATCCACTTGCCTTGGCCTCTGAGAGTGCTAGGATTACAGGCTTTTCTCACCCCTTACAATCATTACTTGTTCAGATTTAACAAGCAGTTTTACTGATTTATTTGTTTAATATTGCTTTTTGGCATTCCATGTCTCCCTTCAGTCATCATCTTTCTTTTTGCTAAATTACATCCTCTAGAAGATTTTTCAGAGAGGGTCTATGAATAATAAACTTTCTGAGCCCAGGATGTCAGAAATGTTTTTTCTTTACTCATTCTCTTGAATGGTAATTTGACACAGAACACACAATTCTAAGCATAAAGATCATTTCCCTTTACTATGAAGATATTACTTCTTTTTCTACTTGATCAAATGTTGCTAAAGAGAACCCTGAGGTCAGGAAGATTCTCATTCCCTAGGAGACAGTTGGCCATTTTTCTTGGGAGCTATAAATATTTTTAATAATCTAGAAGTGAACAAAATGAATTTATTTTTATTTTCTTATTTATTATTATTGTTTGGGATTCAGTGAAGATACAAACAATTGCACTAATTGCATTCATTAGGTAAAGTCCCTTGACAAAATGAATTCTTCAATTTTTGTTTGATCCATATGCTTGCTTGACAGTCAGTGTATTCTTTCAATCTGCAAATTTATGTCTTTTTTCAGTTCAGGCAAATCCCTGGCCATTGCTCTCCTACTGCGTTTCACCTGCTCTCTCTGCTGCCTCCCCTGATGCTCCTGTCAGGAGGGTTTTGCCGCACCTGGATCAACCTTCCATGGGACTGGACTTTTCTTTAATGCTTTTCCATCTCTTTTTCTTTGTGATGAGATCTGGAAGAAGCCTTTAGCTTGATCTCCCAGACCACTAATTCACTTTTTAATAAACTTTAGTTTCTCAAAAAGTTTCAAAATTGTAGTTAAATTTACATGACTAAAATGCACACATTTAAATATGCTAATTTAATAAGTTTTGACAAATGTATATGCCCAATCAGGATCCATCACCTCAGAGGGTTTTCCCATTCTGCTTTCCAGTCCCACCCCCAACCCAGAGCCTGCCACTGCTCTGACCTGGCTGCTCTTGAACTTCATGTGCAGGGCAGCATTAAGTGTGTGCTCTTTTGTATTTGTCTTCTTTGAAGAGCATGGCAGAGATACTTGCTGGGTTGTTCTGCATCGGCAGTGCCCCGTTGTCAGTGCTGATCAGCAGCTGTGCACACACACATCAGTTTGTCCACTGACTGCTGTGGATGGACAATTCACTCCACGGTGGGTATAATCAGATTTTCATCTCCTAAATCACTGGTTTGTTAATAAACAAGTACCTGTTTTTGTTTCTAACTTCATATTCCTATTTTAGGGCTAAAATTCCCTCCTTCATCTCTCTGAGAATATTGAATGGGCTTCTTCAAATTTTCTTCACTCCTTGGCTCTGATTCCTCTAAGGTAAGGTTTTCACTTGTTGACCTTATGGGATTTTTTTTTTCTTTTTTTTTTGCTGGTTTGCTGGTTCTGGTCTTTCTCAGATGCTTGATGGTCACCTGGTCCTCGGTCACAGAGTCCTTCCACACACACAGACACTGGCCTCCCAGGTCTCGGCCAGTATGTTTTCAGTATCCCCTTTCAGGTGCTGAGGTGGTCACGTGTCCTGGCTGTCATGCAACTTCCTAGTGCTGCTGCTATGGTAAGCCCTAGCACAGAGGCTGCGAAGGTTTCCGGATGGCAGCTCAACTCTCAAAGGGAGTTTTTGCTTATAACTACAAGCTTCGGTTACTTCTGGGTTTTCAGACCTGCTTCATATCATTTAGGAGCAA